CTCTGGATGAGCTCTCTCTCTCTCTCTCTCTCTCTCTCTACACACACACACACACACACACACACACACACACACACACACACATCAATAATAAAATTTGGGTGGTTTCTTTATTGTACCTTCACTTACACTCACTTATATTTAACTCTTCACCCAACCCCAAAGAAAATACATGATGACTGCTATTGTTCCTGCCAATTCAGATGCTCTGGGCCTTTGGACCAGGCTGTGAGGACCTGTGTAGTGAACAGCTGTTGCATTCAATGATTACAGACTTAGTTCCCAGAACAGCACAGCTGAGGAAGCAGGTAGCTTATCAGTCTCCAGCTGCACACATGTCCCCAGCTTTGAGACACTACTCACAGGATGTCTTGAGGATAAATCAGTCGGCATCATTTGAAATGTGTTTTTTTTTTTCTTACTGTTAGCAAAAGAAATCGGAGAAAAGAGGGATGAATATCTGCAAACAGTTACTGCTTCCATCAGTATCTTTGACTTCCAGGATATTCCTTTTGGATCCAAGCATATCTTCTTCATCTGCGTTTCACAGAATGGTCTCCCCATTCCTTCTCCAATGGAGGGAAACAGCCCAGGGTTAAGCAGTAAGAAGCAAAAGGAGACAGGAAACCCTCCAGCTAGAACTTTGTAAAAATGGTATTGCCTGACTGCTTGTATCATAGGGATCTAGGAGAGCCTAAATATGCACAGACCCCCAGATGAGACTACCTGGGGAAAGGTTTGCAAATCTACATTTTGGCGAGTGCTCTTGGTGCAACTTTGGAAAGCACTGATATTCGGCCATGTTACAATCACACAAGGGATGCTATGTATTGTTGGCATGTCCTGTCAGTAGTTTGTATCTGCAGCAGAAACACAGGGCACAAGAGAAGCAGAAGCCAAGCAAGCAACTCTCTAGTAATTGTAGAGCTGGTTAATGCAGGTGAGCACCAAGGAATACTCTAAAGCCTGGTCAGTCCGACCACCTGGAGACGTGGACAGCATCAGCAAGGTCTCCCACCAAGAGAAGCTGTGCCAGCATGTCTCACACCCGAACATGGCTGGAGGTGGGTGGAGGTCAAAGGTTAGTGATGGATGGAGGAAATGGGGGATGCAAGCAGAAAGATAATCTGGGGTGGGAAAAAAAATCAATGAGAGAATTGGGTCTGTCAAAATTTCATCATGGAAGGGAAGGAGGCCAAGAGTCCCCACCCCTCCTGAGGAACTAGTGACAGTTAATAGCATCAGGCAGGGAGAAGAGGTGGAACATCCTTATTATTATTATTGTTGTTGTTTTGTTATTATTTTTTTTTTATGTACTGTGTGTGCACACACACAGGAATGCCACAGCGCATCTTTGGAGCTCACAGGACAATCTGCAAGTCACTTTTCTCCTACCTTGTTGTCTCCGGGGATCAAACTCAGGCTGTCAAGCTTGGCAGCAAAGGCCTTTAGCAGCTGAACTGTCTCACTAGTCCCTAAGGGGTGGCGCTGTCTCCGGTGGTGTGGTCACTGGTAAACTGCCCGTGCTCCAGTAAAGAACTTCTCACCCATGCTCACACAGCCACCTTAACTCAACTCACTGGGACGGACACAAACACCATCAGAATAGGAAGACTGTTGGGAAGAAGTTTCGTCAGGAGTGGGGATGAGAGAAAGTAATGGGGAGTAAGCATAACCAAAATTCATTACATGGATTATGAAATTGGCCAAGAATTTTTAAGAAAGCAGTGTTAGAACTTGGCTGATCTGAAGAGCTGTGGTGGTTTCTCTGTGTGACTGGAAGGTGGGGAACGGGAGCTGGAGGGACAGCAGGGACATGTCACAGCAGTGCAAACTTACTTTTCTTCCTTCAGGAAAGAGGTGACGCCAAGTTTCTATCACTAAGATACATGAACAAATATCTCAACTCTACTAGACCTTGGTGTTTTTTTGTTTATTCTCTTCCTGATCCCACTGCAAATCCCAAGCAGATGCTAAAAATAGCTGGGCATGATGAGCCTGCTCCATTTCCACCGTCTGCCTCTTCAGCTATGATTATGTTCAGGTTGTGACTGTGTTTAGTCAGTTAATTTCAATCAAACCCATCAGGCATTTCCAACACACACACACATTCTTATTCCTCAGAAGTATTATTATAACTGGTTTGTTATCTGCTCTACTGTTGAGTCAATGTATTTATTTATCTATATTATATAACCAAACATCCCCAGACTTAACGGCCTAAAGGACCCATTTGCATTTGCTCACTCTGTGAGAGTCACCCTTAGCTGGACAAGGCTTCTGCCAGGCTTGCTTGGTGGCTGGTGGGCTAGGCTGTTTCCTTCAGCACATCACTAGCGGATTCACCATGGGCTGGCTTGGGGCAGAGCTCAGGTTCAGATGCGGGGAAGGGAAGGCTTTATATAGGCCTCTTCACAAGGTTCTTCCAGCAAGAGTTACCCTTATAGCTTATTACTGTCATATTATTATTATTATGAGAAGGGGGGCAGGGAGGGAGGAAGGGGAGAGAAAGAAGGAGGGAGGGAGGGAGAGAGAGAAGGAAGGAGAGAGACAACTTTGGGTCACACCTGCTGGCTAGGCATCTACCAATAAGCTCTATGCCCACCTTCCTTTTCCTCTTTGTTTTCAGACAGGCTCTTACTAAGTTCCTAGGTAGGCCATATCTTCCTGCCTCAGCCTTCTGAGAAGCTGGCCCGGCAGCAATGACCTTTTTGTGTGGCAGCTAAGGTTCTCAAAGCACCAGGGCAGAGCTTTCCAGCGCCTCTTAAGGCCCCTGAGCTGACCTGGTGCACCTTCTGCCGAACTCCTCCAGAGAAAGGGATCTATGAACCTAGACTGATTCCTGGAAGGAGCGCACACAAAGGCATAGCTAACAGGAGGTGCTGTTTGTTGGACCATCAATAAACCAAGCTGTAGCTGTTGCCTCTCCGGCCTCTACTGGCTCCCAGCTCTCCACATATAAAATGTCCTTAGCCTCCTGAGACCTAAGAGAATTGAATCCTTTTCTGCAGCAGTCTCAACCCCAAGGTTTAGACCTTGTCATCTAATCAGATCCTGGTGTGGATGGGGTGTCTCAGGATCTGAAGCAGCAAACTGTGCCTCCCTGAACAGCACAAACAAGCTTAGAGACTCTCATCCTGAAGGAGGGCTGGGCCAGGGAACTAGTTTAGTCAGGAAAGTTCTTGCCTTGCAAGCATAAGAACCCTGAGTTCGATTCCTAGAATCCACATAAAACATGCCGGGTGTGACGGCATATGCTTGGTTTCCGGAGCTGGGGAAGTGGAGACAGCCAGGTCCCCGGGGCTCGCTGGCCTGGCAAATTCCAGGCCAGTCAGAGACCCTGTCTCAAAAAACGAAGGGAAGAGCTTGTGAAGAATAACACCTCAGATTGTCCTCTGGATGTTGTGCACACACATACACACTAGCACCTGCACACTTAGACACACACACAGGGAAAAAGGGGGAGAGAGGGGGGAGGGAGAGAGAGAGCACATGCAGTGAATGCTGGTGGACAGCCATTTTGAAACCCAGCCTGGTGCCTGTCACCCCATCCCATCTGCTCTAAGGACAGCCGTGGTCCCTGGGGGTGCTTCTCCACCATTCCTGACACTGGCTTCCAGATAATCCTTCTTTTAGGAAAACAAACAGCTTATTTCTATATCTAGATAGATTTCCCATTCTGGTTCCTGCATGTTGAGCCTAGAGGCCTCTTGCCATTTCTAATGTCTGTCCTTTTTTGTCCAGCTCTGCTCTGGTGTTTCTCTCTCTCTCTCTCTCTCTCTCTCTCTCTCTCTCTCTCTCTCTCTCTCTCTCTCTCACTACTAAGAATCGAACCAGGGCCTCATGAGTACCAGACATAAGCTCTGCCACAGAGCTATGTCCTCAACACTCTTTTTACTTTTTATTCTCCAGACAAGTCTTGCTAAACTGCCCCTGCTGACTTAGCTCCCTCTGTAACCCAGGCAGACCTTGAACTTGCGATCTTCCTTCCTCGGCCTCCCCAGAAGCTGGAATTACAGGCCTGTGTCACCAGGCCTGGCTGACTCTGTTTTGCTAATATGATTTTAACTCAGCAAATGCATGTGAGATTCTTATGATGCTTGCCAGGCTCCTTTCCATTAGAAAAGAGCCGTCAGATTTTATTTGCAATAAGCCTCTCCATATGCAGGGGTGTTAGCACTGTGGGAAGATGCCCTTATATTCTTAGAAGCACGTGTGTGTAGAGGCTTGACTGAGGTCCACTCTCAGTAGATCTCATAGCCCTGACTTCAGAACCGATCCCATTTTCCCTGCGCTTTGGATTTGCGCCGCACCCCACCCCCACCCCAAGCAAATTTGCAAACTGCAGATTTGCAAACTCTGCAGACTGGATGACAGGCAGGTTTATTTACGAAATCTGTTCAAGACCCAAGTCGGAAAGCTTTTCTGCTCTGATGCTTTTGCTTTCCAGCTTTTTCTCTGAGTCATATGTAGCCAAAAGCAGGCAGCTAGCACTTGCAACATTCTGGAAACAGTTTCTGAGGCTACCAAGTTCTTTGGACGTCTTTTCTGTCTTCTGCCATCAACGTATTGCCAAACTTCCAACCGCCACACAGCATAGGTTGTCTCCCCTCCAGATTCGGGTACCACTTCCTCCCAGCACTTTCAGCCTTCACTGGGGGTCCCCCTGAGGTGCCTCCAGTTCCACTCACTACCCAGTTCCAAAGCCAAGAGTAAAAGTTTTGTTATGACAGTTGCCTACATCCAACTCCCGACTTTTGCTTTGGTTAGCTATCGCTATGTAACAAATTCAGCTTAAAATGGCAAGTGTGTGTGTGTGTGTGTGTGTGTGTGTGTGTGTGTGTGTGTGTCCCACAATTTTGAAATCTGAAGTAAGAGTACCAATTTCTTCTGCTGGTCTTGCCCCGGTTCACCAAGGAGGGGAATCAGACTCAGACTGTGAAAGTCCACAACCATCACAGTGAATGCTCCCCCCCCCCCCCCCGCCCCAAATAAAAGCTGTGGTCGGTTCAGCAGCACATATACTAAAATTGGAACGATACAGAGAAGATTAGCATGGCCCCTGCACAAGGATGACATGCAAATTCCTGAAGCGTTCGTTCCATAGTAAAAGAAAACAAAAACATAAGCTCCAAGACATCATTTCCTCTCAAACATCTGAGCAATCTGGTTGCACACAAGAAAGAGGATGTGTCTGGAAGGTTTCATAGATGAAGGTCCCTCTTCCCTGCTCTGGGTGTTTAATGCTGTTGTGAATTTAATAAGGTTACTCCAATGAAAAGGCCACTGCTCTGCAATGTCTTACTGAAAAATAAATCCGAGGGATAATCATCCTTTGCAGTCTAAGGGAATGGCTCAACAAAACAGCCAGTCAACAGAAGACCTAGGATTTTTTCTAAACATTATTCCAAAGATCCTACAATAGTTTCTTAGACACCCAGAAATCCTGAGGAGGCCCAAATCATCACTTGTCAGTGGAGCTATGTAAGGGGTCACAATGCACAGGTGACCTCAAACCTGTGTTTGGTCTGGGCTCTTTTGGGTGGCACTGAACTTTCACCAAAGACGTGTTGGATGAACTGAGATTTCAATACTTAAAACAACTGGATCACACAGTAAGTCTCTAAGGAGACAGAAAATGGAACGTTTTCACTTCTTGTTATTCTTCGGCTTAAAACTATCCACCAGGGTCCATGTTTTTTCAAACATTTTACTACCAGACTGAAAGGAAAAGAAGGTGTCTGTTGATGGGCAGGTTCCAGAGAGATCACGGCCAGTGCTCGGCTCCTTCTCAGAATGAAGGAGCTTCACCCAGAATGAAGGGGCATCACCGTAAATACCAAGGACAGAGAAGTGAATAAGCTAAGAACACCTTTGCACTCAGGAGCACAGGGCTGCGGCCTAGCATGAGCAACAGAGGAGTGTATTAGTTCCCAGAGGCCCACAGGACCGGGGGACTTAGCATGAACTCAAATCGATGTCTTGCCCTCGGAAGCTGCCCTCTGTATTTCACTTCTATTTTTCCCAAATTGGAGTAATTCAAGAGTTGTATTTAATAGGTTATTTTACATTAAGTCTCGCTGCAAAGTATAGATGAATACAAATTGAATCAGAAGACTTCACTGCCCAGTATGTTAAAAAGGAAGAAACTATATATAATGTATTCTAAGAACTTGACTGCAGCACTTCGAACCGTGTGAGGCATTCAGAATATACAATTGTGGGGCTTACAGAGGATGGAAAGGCTGTCGGGCTCTGTGTTACCATGCTCCTGGGGACAGTTCTGCTGACCCACCTCCCTCACCACCACTGCTCCCTGGACACTGAACACACAGGTAAAGATAAGTGCGGAAAACATCTGTTGTGTACAGCCATGGGGATTCTTACCAAGAAAGGCTGAATCTCGGTTAAACTGCTTACTGGATGTTGGGTGGGAAGGATATTGCAGGCAGATGTTACTGTGGAATGTGAAAGTAGCCAGCACCCAGCCCCGAGATGTAGCCTGGTGAGAAAACACGCCAGACTTCAGGCGGCATGCAACAGATGATGGGCTAGTGATAGGAAGACACACTGAGACAGAAAGGCTAAGCAATCCAGAGAGGCTGGCTCGTCTCCTCTACAACAGTCTCCTCAAGATCTGAGCTCAGAAAGGGAAAGGGACTTGCGGAAAATGAGTTAAGATGATTTTAACCTTGACTGCCCTCCTAAAGTGGTTCATTGTCTACACAGAGAAATGCAACTTATAAAGGAGTGGCGCTGCCGGGCGGTGGTGGCGCACGCCTTTAACCCCAGCACTCGGGAGGCAGAGGCAGGCGGATCTCTGTGAGTTCGAGGCCAGCCTGGTCTACAGAGGGAGTTCCAGGACAGGCTCCAAAGCTACACAGGGAAACTCTGTCTCAAAAACACAAAAACAAACAAACAAAAAAAGCATGGCGCTGACCGCCAGAATATTCACCCATGAATTGAAAGCCCCAGGTTACCCACCACTCTCCCTAACTGTTGAATATACTATCACGCTAGAATTCTGAAAGCAGGACAGAGGAGGGGAAGTGGGGGGGGGGAAGAGGAGGGGAGGAGAGGGGAAGAGAAAGAGGAGGAAAAAGGAAAAAAAAGAAAAGGGGACAAGAAGATGCATGTGCAGGCAGGAGAGCTGTACTTAAACAGACCTGTAGCCGCTTAGACAACAACTCCAAGAGTCTCCTCTATAAAGCCAGGGGTTGTGCTGTCCTTGCCTCTTGGCTGGAAGACATTCTTAAGATGTTCTGAAGGCTCCTCAATTGGCTGCTTTTTCCTTCGGCTGTCATGGCAGCTTTCAACGCTTTGAAAGGTTTCTTCTCCACCCCACCCTCCCATGCACGTCCAGCTTGAGGTCCTCTCCCCTCCTCACCTCTGCCTCTCTTGCCGCCCAGGAAGATAATCACCTCCTACCTCACAGTGTGGAAGGCCTGTTGTTGGGGGGATACAGAGGAGAGCTAGCACCTACCCTGCCTACAAGAACTCACATGATTTCAGTCTCGGTACCACCAGCTGTTGAGGACAACCGGGGCTTCAACAATGGAGGGCCGTCCCGTTACACATGTTCAGCAGCATCCCTGGCCTCAACCCACCAGACAGGGTAGCTCTCTTTACATTCCAAGTCATGACAATCAAAATTGTGCAGATATTGTCAAATGTCCCCTCGGGAGGGAGCAAAATCAACCCCAGTTGAAAATAACATGGAGGAGAAGCTTCCTATAGATCAGTGGTTCACAGGGAGTAACTCAAAGAGCCATATTTAAAAAAAAAAAATCCCAGGAGAAGACATTGTAAAGTTTCTGAACAACTAGAATTTAATGGGACCAAATCTGGAAAATTGGAAACCTCAGCAGTACGAGCCAACTGTTCACAGCTCTGTTTGTTTGTCTGAGGCAGGGTCTCGTGGAGCCCAGACTGGCTTCAGACTCACTATAGCTGAAGATGACCTTGCCTGAGTCTTCTGCCTGTACCTCCCAAGCCACAGCTACTTTTCCCTTAGGACATCTGCCCACTCTGGACATGGGCTATGGGGCTCAGGATCCAAACAAAAGGCCGAGGCAGGAGAGTTGGGAAAGTCAGGAAACTTTGGGAGAGTTCAGGGGAAAAGGAAAGGAAAATCAAGAAGCAGGAATGAGTGAGGGATGGGGAGAACAGTGATCCTCGTACCCTCAGGCAGCTTTCCCTCAAGAGCACTGTCCATTGGAAGCTGTCTGAGACAGAAGACTAAGAGAGTAAGCATTGGGGTGGGTGAGCAGGGTTTGGGCCATCTCATGGCCTAAAAGAGACCAAACTGATACTCAGAAACACTTCACGGAGGGAAGCTGAGGTCAGGAGAATCAAATGAGGACTGAGTTAGAACAGAGTAAGTTTTTCTACCAAGAATAAAGTGGGCATGAAACAATACCAGAACACTGTGCAAGTGCATGCCAATATGTTTGAAATTTCCAATGAAAGGGCCAAATTGGTAGAAAAATATAAACTGTCAAAGCTAAAAGAATAAATTGAAAGGAGAAAAATGAATGTCTTAGGGTTTCTGTAGCTGTGAAGAAACACCATGACCACAGCAACTCTTATACGGGAGAACATTGAATTGAGGTGGCAGCTTATAGTTTCAAAGGTTCAGTCCATTATCATCCTGGCAGGGAGCATGGAGACGTGCAGGCAGATGTGGTGCTGGCTACATCTTGATATTCAGGCAACAGGAAGTACTGAGACACTGGGCAGTATCTTGAGCATATATGAGACCTCAAAGCCTGCCTCCACAGTGACACACTTCCTCCAACAAGACCACACCTATTCCAACATGGCCACACCTCCTAATAGGGCTACTCCCTTTGGGGGCCATTTTCTTTTAAACCAGCACACTGAACAATCTTCTAGAACTTGACAAAGTTCTCTAGTTAAAAATCTTTTCACCTACAAAGCGAGTTCCAGAACAGCCAGGACATCACACAGAGAAATCCTGTCTCAAAAAACTAAAAAAACAACTTTTCACAAAGAATCTTCTGGAGTTGGAAGATCTTCAGAGTGGACTCCTCTAAACATCAAAGGAGAAATAGTGTCAGAGAGGAGGGGAGGGAAGGAGAGGGGAGGGGATGGGAGGGGAGGGGGGAGAGAGAGAGAGAGAGAGAGAGAGAGAGAGAGAGAGAGAGAGAGAGAGAGAGAGAGCGACAAGAGACTGACTCAGGTGTCTCTACAGTGGCAATAGATAACATGATCCATGGCTTCTGAGGTTACACTGTTCTTGGGATACAACTTACAACATTATTTAAATATCAAACCAGCTTCATTCTTAAGTAAAACTCTAAGAGCTGATTGGCTTGTTTCTCTAAAGAACCTCCCTTTGTAACTGGAATCTCAAGGCTTTTATGAACTGTATTGTTTAGGTTTAGGGAGAGAGACAAGAGTGCTAATACAGTTAAACTCAAGGCTATAGATACCCTGGCTCTGGGTAAGGACAGTCTGTTGATTTTAACATCCCTGTGGAGATGCCTTTAGCAAGTGGTTCTCAAACTTTCTCATGCTGTGACCCTTTAATACAGTTCCTCATGTCCCAGTGACCCCCTCAACCATAAAATGATTTTCACTGCTACTCCACAACTGTAATTTGGCTACTGATATGAATCATAATGTAAATATCTAATATGCAGGGTATCTGATATGTGACCCTGTGAAAGATTGGTTTAATCCCCAAAGGGGTCATGGCCTACAGGTTGAGAATCACTGCTTTAGAGTTGGAGCAATTCTGTCGAAGTTTCTAGACTTCAGTGACCAGGAAATCCAAGCAGGTGCCGGGTTGAGGAACTTCATTTCTCCTGCACCCTTAATTTCTCGTGTCTTTGGAGCTTGCTCAGAGTGAGCTGAAACTGATGGTTGGACTGGTCAGGAGTAAAGGGAGCAATTACAGGGGTGAAGCGCTTTCCAGGCCAGGTGTGGTGAGGTGCGCCTTTAATCACAGCATTTACAAGATGGAGGACAGAGGGTCGGGAATTCAAAGCCAACCTCAGTCACAACGTGAGTTCATTCAAGGCCAGCCTGGGATGCATGAAACTCTGTCTTCAAAGAACAAAAGGAAAAAAGGAACTCTCTTGG